GAGTTGAATGACAGTTTAGAAGATGAACTCGTCGAGTCATAGCCCAACTCGACGAGTAGAATCGAGGACCCAGGACAATAGTTTGCTAGAGACTCGGCGAGTGGAGATCCACTCGGCGAGTTGGGTCAACTAAAAGTTGACTTCGATTTGACTTAGGGCTAGACCAGGGGTAAAATGGTCTTTTTACCCAAAGGACAGTTAGCAGTGTATGATTAAGTATATTGTGGGAATTACAGCCAGGGAGTTTCCGGAGCAGCAGCAGCAGTAGTAGGTGATCAATTCCCACACAGACCAGCAGCTATTTCGAGGTGAGTTTCCTTCCAGTAGTAACGGGTCTAAGGCACCAAGGCCGGCCCGTATAGATGAGACGTTAGTATTATAGTGTGGGCCGAGCCCGTATCTATTAGTTGAGTTGATTGTGTTATATACCAGCATGATAGAATTGTTTACACTTGTTGTCTGTGCGATACTTGTGTGATATGAGTTGGCGGTTGAGTGTGGGCGGGGCCCGTATCTCTCCGAGAATGGAGTGTGGGCTAGGCCCGTATCTCCCAGGTAGCGAAGTGTGGGCGGGGCCGTATCTTCACGAGTGTGGGGGGCCCGTATCTCTCAGAAAGTGAGGTGTGGGCGGGGCCCGTATCTTCACGATGTGGGCGAGGCCCGTATCTCCTAATTGCATGTTATATGTTAAATGCTTGTATGGTATGGGGTATTATGGGGGAGCTCACTAAGCTTTGTGCTTACGGTTCAGTTTTGGTTTCAGGTACCTCCTCAGCTAGGGGAAAGGAGTCGGCGCGGTAGCAGCATGTCACACACACACTCTTCGGTTTCCGCATTTACGAGATTCACTGGGATTGTACTCTGATATTTGATGGGATGTATGGTTTGACTTTTAAAACATGGTTTGCGATGTGTTATGGTGTGATCAAACAATGTTTTTATTTATTAATGTTTTCTAAAGTAATATTTTAAAATGAAATTTTTGGACATGAAAATTGGGTCGTTACAATTATTCAAGTTAAAATTGTTCCCCATGTATGCTAGATAGGAATATAACCTTGGAATTCAACTTTGCATGATAATTAGACAAACATAGATCGAAGGTTATTAGGGTTGCATGTACACTTAGGAAGTGTTAGAATGCTCAAAACCCAGCAGTGGTATTAGAGCCTAGGCTTGTTTGCTTTTTATTTATAGGGGGGACTCGTCGAGTTCACGTGTATCTTCAACCAACTCGGCGAGTAAATTCATGCACTCGGCGAGTAGGATCGACTGATTGCATAATTTCGATTTTAGTTGCTGGAAATGGACTAGAAACATTACCCTAAACTTTTTTGGTACTTGAAAACTTGTTTTGATGGTGTAATGTTCTTTCTAATTCATTCACAACAACTAGTTATCAAAATTACAAAGTTTTAAGTGTAATTTTGATTTATGAATGTGTTCATATTCATGTTCTTGTTCTTATGATGTTTTAGATGATCATAGGAATTATTTGTAACCTATGTGGTAGATTAATTCTTGATCATAATGTGTTTTAATGGAGTCCATAACTTGTCCTCAAGTTATGGAAAACCAAGAGTCACACTTGAATTAAAACCATTAAAAGAACACAAGAGTTAGAAAAATGAAGAGTCTTCATTTTATTACTCTATTAAACTCATAAGTTACAAGAAATGAAAAGTTTTGAAAGTTACAAAACTTGCCCTCAAGTTTTGGAACAAGTAAAGTTAAGTTAAAACTTTAGTTCCAACCCCTAGAATTTTAAAAGTTAAAATTCAACCCTTATACTTATATTATGATGATTTAATAATTATATATATATGTATAAGAATTAAGTCATCTTACCGCTAGTACGCCTCATTCACGAAGCCGGTCTATAAGGTGGGTATAAGGTTGTTGCCTATAAAATGGTGACTTAATGGGTGTCTACTCTCACCCACCGCTTGCTTGACTGGTGGAGGGTCGTTAGCCGAACGGGTAAGACAAGGACTTATAAATTCTCATTCAAAGTATGATGAATATTATAAAGTAACTAAATGTTTTATTAAATTCCCAATCTTAGTTACTTTAGGAAAATGTGAATAAGGTGCTAATCCATGGAATTACACTTTACACTTTGTCTAAGTCGTTGGTGGAGCGTGTGTGGTTAACCGGCACACTAACTTGGACTTAACAAGGTAGGTAAAGGGTGAATTAAGGTTTATTATAGTATCGGTGGAGCGTGTGTGGTTTACCGGCACATCGATTGAGTGATAAACTTTAAGGGTACCAAGTAATTCGCATGGTTACTTCACACCTCGTTTTGTGATCCTCGGTATCCCAGTCAAAAAACTTGGAGGGCACTCTCGAGATTGAAATATGCCTTTGAAAAGTTCATTGAATCTCAAAGAATCTAGGAATTTCTAAGAACCAATCATAAAACCTAATATCTAATATTTCGGTTTTCGTGGTGGAAATTGGTGAATCGTCATTCACCTACCTTTCAAATATGGTATAGCTTAGATTATGGCATACCTCTTCTAAGTTATATTATATTGTGATTGGATCCTAGCCTTAATATTAAATTTGGGTGTTTTATTAAGGACTCTCTTATATCTATACTAAACTTGTTCTCTTCTTTCAGATGTCTTCAAATAATGCTGCTTCTGGCTCGAATCCTAATGGCTCCTTTACTCTTATGAGTTTGTGTGGGAAAGTCACCTTTGATGGATCCAACTTCAATGAATGGATCAGAAACATCAGGATGATTACCCGCTACGAGGACAAAGAATATGTCCTTGACAAGGAGCTTAAGGAGATTGATGAGACCACTGCAACTCCTCAGGAGATCGCTGACTTTCAGGCACATGAAAGGGATGCTACGAAAGTAGCATGCATCATGATGGCCACAATGACAGCAGAACTCCAAAAGTCCTATGAGGATTTCTACCCTTATGAAATGCACCAAGATTTGATGGAAAGATACCATCAAAGTGCACGGCAAGAGAGGTACGAAATCATCTGCTCCATGATAACAACCATGATGAAGGACGGGGATTCCGTCACAAGCCACATGCAGAAAATGCAAAGGTATGTGGATCGATTGTTGAAGCTTAACGTGAACTTCCCTGAGGAGCTTGCAATAGATATAATTTTGCGCTCCTTACCATCGTGCTATGATCAATTCCGCATGACATATCACATAAATAAGGAAGAGGTCACACTCAGCAAACTTCAGGGACTTCTCAAGACTGCAGAATCAGGTCTTAAGGGGAAGTCAGTTGCTATAACTCCTACTCCAAACTCAACTCCAGTTTTGGCAATCGGGAAAAGTTGAGGGAGGAAGAGAAAGAGATCTTCGAAGGGTACCAAGGCTCGGACCCTTGATGGCTCTTCTTCAAGTGGAACCAAGAAAGGTTTCATTACTCCTTCTTCTGACCCAAAAGAGGCTGAATGCTTCTATTGCCATAAAAAAGCTCATTGGAAGTGGAACTGCCCAAAATACCAGCAAGATGTGAAGGATGGGAAAGTCAAACCCAACCATGCAGGTATTTACACTATCATTTCTAATAACTCACCCCATTATAATTCTTGGGTCCTTGATACCGGTTTTGGTATTCATATTTGTTGTGACTTGCAGGGACTAAGAAGAAGTGAGGATGTGGATCAAGTAAGAATAAACTTGATCATGGGGAACAGGAAAGCTTCACCTGTCACCAAGATTGGAGTTTATACTTTATCGCTAAGTAGTGGGTTTAGTTTAGATTTGAATAAGTGTTGTTACTCGCCAGGAATGGCAAGAAATATTATTTCCTTTCATGCTTTGTACAAACAAGGGTTTACCTTTTCGTTTAATAATGAAGTTGGTTCTATTGATGCTTTCTTTAAGAATGTTTGTATGAAGCTGTGTCTGTTGTAGATAACATAGGAAATAATGTTTTGTGTATTGATTCTACTAATAATAATAACTTGGATAAAGCATCATTATGGCATTGTCGTCTTGGACATATAAGCAAGAAACGCATAGGCCAACTCCAAAAGAATGGAGTCTTGGAGTCGTTTGACCTAAAGTCAAAATGATAGTTGCGAATCATGCCTACTTGGAAAAATGACAAAGTCACCCTTCACAGGCTTGTGTGAAAGAGGTGAAGGTTTGTTGGACCTTATACACACGGATGTGTGTGGACCATTCAAACATGCCACAAGGGATGCTAATCATTATTATTTGACTTTTACTGATGATTACAGTAGATATGGATATGTCTACTTAATCAAGCATAAGTCAGAGACTTTCAAGAAGTTTAAGGAATTTAAACAGGAAGTCGACAATCAATTAGGAAGGAACATTAAGATGCTTCGATCCGATCGAGGTGGTGAGTATCTTAGTTCAGAGTTCCTTGACTATCTAAGGGAATGTGGGATTGTCTCACAATTGACACCTCCCAGGACACCGTAGTTGAATGGTGTGGCTGAGAGGCGTAATTGAACCTATTTAGACATGGTTCGTTCCATGATGGGTCGAGCTTCGCTACTAATCTCATTCTGGGGGTATGCCTTAGAGACTGCCGCCCATATCCTTAATCTATTCCCTACAAAGAAAGTTTCCAAAACTCCTCACGAGATGTGGACTGGTAAAGTACCCACTACAAGAAAAATAGCCTTTAATGATGTGCAAACAACGACACTCGTTGATTCACGTTACGCATTTCTGAGTGTCCTTGAAAATAATGTTAGACTTCCAAAATTTGAAGGATAGTGGACACGTATTTTTGCGTGCCCTTAAATTAGTGTCTCAAGAAAAAAAATTAAAAACACGGAGGGCGCTTTATCTTAAACGTGCGTCTTCTGTAGGTGTCGCTTAATAATTTTAGTGAAACGCGCCTTGAGAAGATAATGGGGGAAAACGAAGCCCTAAAATTTTGAAAACCCGCCTTTCTTTTCTACCTTCTTTTCTTCATCTTCACAATCGACTCTCACCTCTTGTTTCTATACACTGAGAAGTGACGAAATAAGGGAGACTAGGATGGGTCTGTCGGTGATGATGAATGGAGTTGCTTTCCGGTCAATTTCGGAGATGGCATTGTCGATTTCGATGCTTGTTTCCCTCTTGCCCTAATCACGTCGTCGCCGCGAATCACACACTGCCAGGCAGTGGAAGAAGATGATGAAGTTTGTCGTTGTCGTATGTCGACCTCCCTCGCAGTCTCCAACTATCTCTGCCCTTTCTTTATTCTTCGTTTCTATGATCGTCTTATCTTCCTTCATCTTCTCGGTTTTCCATCAGGTAATTATTGGGTTTGCTCGTGATGCTGAAATTCATAAAAGAGTTCTTCTCCGGTATTAGCATCTTCCTGGGTAGCTGAACTTCTATCATCGCTTGAGATCGATCTCAGCCTCCTATTCACCTCTATACGGCCTTACTTGTAAGTCCACACCACACTTGTTCTTATCTTGTTCTGGAAAATCAAGAAACATTCGAAAAACCTTAGGGTTTTGCTTCTTATCATCGGTGAGGTCGCGTTTCTTCATATCAATACTAGGGTCTCGTTTCTTATCATCAGTGAGGACTCGTTTCTTCTTATCAGTATCGGATTTCTTCTTGACTGAGGGGTCAGATTGACGAGACCTGTGAGACTTTTGAGATCGCTCCATGCTCGCTGTGTGACTGTGTGAGGGTACAAAGATTAATGGCCACGACAGGGGTTAGCAAAGCTCCTTATTTCTTCTCTACGAGGTATAATAATTGTTGCTTAAAATGGTTAGTTTTTCTTATTCATCACTGTTAGGGATTATTTCTTCTTTGGGACGAATTTGATTTTTTTTTCTGATTTGGGAACCAAAACATGCGAGACTAATGAATCTATTGGTGATAATTAATGGTTTGATGATTCCTTAACCTATGAACATTCACATTTATTTGTTATAGTGAACATCAAATCTTGTGTTTAGATACAATAACAGGCAAATATACTTACTGTTTATTTAAGTTCAAATATGGAGTGGACCAAACAACAAAACATTCTCAGAGATCTTTGTTCTGGGCGTTGCAGTTACATTCAATTTGCACCTTTGCACCAAGGTAAAAGAAATAGACAGAACAGGGGAAAAGCAATCATAGGTAAAAGAAATTGTAGTAAATTAAGCAGGGTTAAATATGTCAATTTTTTACTTGCAAAAAATGTTATTTTATTGTAGGTTATTATAGCTACTTGTATGCAAAGTATTTTGCATCAACCTTATGGGAAAGAGTATGCAAGGAGGATCCATTGTCATTAGAGACTGGTACTATTATTAGAAAAAAGTTACTGCAACATGGTGGATCTAAAGATCCTACACAGTTACTTAATGATCTTGCTGGTGATGGTATTACAAGGAGCTACCAAAATTAAGGACATGGAGGAGGTATAGTTCCAGACATTACAAGCCAATGTAACGAATTGAACTTGAGAAGATGAAAAAAATCACGATTTTGTCCTCCTGTGTTGTTTTTCCAGAGAAGGAAGTTAAGCAGGTCCGGTGTGACCAATGATGACAGTTGCCTTTCCTTAATGTTTTTCTTATTGTGTTCTAGGTAGGAACCAGCAAAATAGGTTTTAGGTATCTGCAATCATCAAGAACATTATTATTAATTATCATTTGATGCTAATGAAATTTGGGAGAAATTAGATCAAGGGTTTCAGACCTTCATGATAACAGGTTGTCCATCCTAAAAAGGTATATCTGGAAGGACTCACTAAAGATTGGAATGAAGAGAATTGACCCCTGCATCTTCTCTCTTTTTACTCTGTTTTTGTTGTGTGAAACAGGGGCTGAACCAACACATATGTTATTGCTGTTGTTGTATCTGATTCTTTTTGATTCATTGTCTACAAGACACTTCAAGGAGATGGTATGATTATTATTTTTAAAGGCTTAAATGCAAGAAATGGAAGTAGAGTGAAATTAGATTGGTATTAGGGATTGTTTAAATATTGATGTGGTTGGTGTGGTGTTTGATAAAAATAAAGGTGCAATGATTGTATTGTATTTGTATATGTAGGAAGCACATACTGTTGTTGTACCTGAGGTTCAACCTTACACTCACACTCACAGACCCTATCAACAACAATCTTCAATCCTTCAATGTGAATGTGATCCTTATGATTCTCTCCTCCCAATCCCAAGGTCAACGTTACTAATAATAATAATTGTATTTTTTTTTAATTTGAGATTTATATTTACATTTCAAAATGTTTTTGTGACTTGTGTAGATGTGTTGGACATGATGGCAGAGGTGTAATGTAAATGAAACAATTTACCCTGATGAAATATAATGTAAATGTCCCATATGCCCCTCATCAGTTCATGCAAAATGGTTTGATTGATGGACATGGAGGAGGTCTAGGATCTTACCCTAGGCCTACGGCACACCCTCCCTCACCCTCTCTCACTACTCAACGTTTAATACATGAACAACAGGTACTACATTGGTGATAATATTTTTGCTTCTTTTTTCTCTTAAAATACGCACTTAGTACAACATTGTCATCATCTGAAATGTCATCTTGTGTTTTCTCAATTCGGACCTTATTCTTACTCCTAATATCAAAGTAAAAAATATATTTATTTATTTACTTATTTATTTATTTATTTATCAATGTAGATTCCATGTTGTAAAATAAAAAGTACCTTTTCTTTAGTGATAAAAGTGTTACACCAACTGAAACATCATCATCTCTCAAGTTCAATTTATCATTTGACTTTTGTTTTTTGACACGTAAGCCAAGTTGTGTCAGCTTACGTGTAATTTGTGTTGCTGACAGAGAAAAGGAAGCTACCATGGAAGAAGAAAGGCGAAAGGAGGAGGAGGCACGGATTAAGTTAGAAGAAGTGTATGTGAGCCTGTTTATATGTTGTAGTTTATAAACTTTGTGATAAATGACAATTTTGCCCCTTTTCAGGAAATCAAAAAATTACTGGTACAATGTTTGCAAATTTCAATTTTACCCTTTTGTCTCATTGTTCATCAATATCACATTAAAAATAACTACTAGTGTATTTTTCTTTTTTAGTCTGATTTTTTTAACCATTTTGATCCATATTAAGTTAGAAGAATCTTCGGGTTCTTCACATTAGAAATAACTACTAGTGTATTTTACCGCGTCTTTTTTTTTTTGTTATTCTCGTTTCTAACCCTACGCTGCTACACAATACTCCAACACGTTTCTATCGGTTTTTCATCAACGATCGCGTAGGAGAATCACACAAGTGTCATCGCCTCTATTCTCTGCTAGTCGATCACCACCGCCGGTTGATCACCACCTCCAGTCGACTTCCACCCATTGCATCAGAAGAAGGTAAGGTCTTCAAAAGTTTTTTTTTTTTTTTCTGAATTGGATGCAAACGAAACCAGATGATATTTGTTTCTAGAAATCGGATAAGATACATAGTATTGTTACAATTACATGTTCTTTGATATGTATGATATGAAATCAAATATTGTTTTTTCTGAACTGGAAGTGGAAACAAAAACATATGGTATTTGTTTCTTGAAATCAAATGATATTTGTTGCTGGAAATTAGAAAATCAGATAAGATGTATAGTATTGCTCCAATAATATGTTATTTGGTATATGTGATATGAATCAAATGTAGTTTCTGCTAAACTAGAAGCAAAAACGAATTCCTATTTGTATTTGTTTCTTGAAATCAAATGATATTTGTTGTTGGGAATTAGATAATATGCATAATATTGGCAATTGTATATTATTTGATATGTATGATACATGTTTAGTATTGTAGAAGTATATTAGAGGAGAATGATATGTAAACTGAAGTTAATGTTTTTTCAGGGAAAAGGATGAAGAGTTGGATGTTGTAACACTTTGTGCTAAATCATTGCTATATCATTTAAATCAGATGTATGGTTCCACGAAAGATTAGGGAGACATTTTTCTTGGTAAATTACAGATTGCTTTCTTGCTTGCTCTGTTTGTATCTGATCACTTTGGAGGGCACGCAAGTCTGTATCCGGATCAAACTATAACAAGCCTTTTGTCTGCACAAACTATAACGAGCCTTTTGTCCCTATTGGAGCTCTACAATTTGGTGTTTGTAGACACAAGTCATTTCTCGTGAAGGTAGTTTAATAATCTATTTACTTGGGTAACTAGTAATGCATCATTTACTTTCTATGTATAAATAAATAATTTATTTCTTTTCCTATTTGCTTATAATTCAGTACCTTTGTGATCGAATGGAGCCTCAAGTACCATGTGAACTTGTGACACCACAGGTATGAAGCAAAAACTAATTAACACTAATCATAGTGTCTAATTAACATGGTCTGAGCGTAAATCTAGTAGTGTGTGTGCACGAATTAACCATGCTTTGTGCTAAACCTAATTGCTTGGTGTTAAGTATTTACAGAATTTTACTATCTCTGTGGACGAATCAGCTAAAGACATGTTATGATGTATACTTTTATTTTCCCTATGCTATAGATCTGATTTTCACTTTCTGGAATGTTTTCTATTCTGTGATGGATCTTATTGTGCAAGATGCACACTTATATTTCCTTTTTTTTTTGGTAATCATTATACTTATTTTGTTTACTTTATGTAGATCATATACGGTACACCAAGCTGCTGCAACAGCCTATGGTGCCTTGTGTGCAGTCTTATGTTCACTCCTTATTGGGTCAAATGGAAGACAAAACCATGTAATTCTTGGAAATTTAGTTGATAGATTTATAGGATGGGCATTGTCATTGTTTAGCAATATTAATGTTGGTGATGGGATAGTGGAACTTGCAGCAGAAGGTCTTCATGAATTCCTCAATGTTGCAGAAGGTCTTAATGCTGGTGATGGGATAGCTACTAAGCTCTCTTCACGACTTTGTCCCACTATGGGAAAGTCATGGAGATTATTTCTTCAAATCAAGTGTTTAATTCTATTCTTTCACACAAACTTATGTTGTCTGCATGTGTTAAGGTATTCATTGCAGATTATTTCTTCGGATCAAGTTTAGCCGAAAGTTCTACCTATGCAGATTTAAAGGTAATTAACATCTTCACAACTGATTTTTCGCCTTCAATAATTTCGTGATCTTTTAAAGTAAGAAGAGTTGTATAATGGTGGAATTCATGTGTTTTTATACACTAGGTTGAAGTAATACTTGATAAGTCTATGAAGATCAATAACATTACAGATGCCAAAATTGAAGCCACACTATTTGATATCAATACCAATGAGGGTTCCAATCTGCTATCAACTAACGTGGCCAGTTTGGAGCTTCAGCAGCCCCCTCATTTTCCTTTAGGGTTTCATGGGTATCGATTAGAAGGAAAACTGAAAAATCCCAAGCTTTGGTCTGCAGAGCAAGTGAGAAATCTTGTCTTTTAATCAAACAAATTACTTTTCTTTTCACCTCTTCATCTAATAACATTGGATTATGTTGCATGCAGCTAAATCTGTATACATTAGTTGTCACCCTGAAAGATGCATCAGGCAACATTATCGACTGTGAATTATGTCTAAGTAGGCAAGGAGGGTTTATTTAGGATTGGGTTGACCATGTCTATTTGGGATTAGGTTGACCAGGTTTGAAACTCATCTCTAAAATTTTATAAAATTGTAAATGTGGTGCAAGGGTAGTTCTAAATATTTGCATCTGGTTTCAGGGGTTACTCAAGGAAAATTCAAATGGTAGCAAATATTGGGCATATGGAGGTGACTTTGAATATACACCAAATGACTTAAGAAGGCAGAAAAGAGATTGCAAGTTGATCCTGCTACATGGCCAATAATGATCTTTAGGGTCTACTAGAAGGATTGGAGATTGCAGCTAAGCTTCTATCTAAGACTTCATGCCAAGGACTTGATGAATTAAAGATATCATATTTTGGCATGGCTAGAAGCTTTGGAGGAAACGAGACTCAAGCAAAAGTAAACACATAGAGAGTTGTTGGCACATAGTAAGCTAGATAATGCAATTGTATATAAATGAGTTCATTTTTTATAACATTTACTCACTATTGGAATAATTATTTGTATTTGACATATTAGTGAAATGAATTATTTTTGTTATTTATGGTATTTTATTTTGTATTATGAGATTTTTAATGTATTATTTAATTTGAAAATTAGTAAATCTATAAATAATAATTTTTTTAACATTTAAAATTATGATACGCAAAAATGAGTGTCATCTTCGTTTATGACATGGCCTTTCTTGACAGGGGCTTCCTTGATACGCATTGCGTGTCATAAACACGCGCGTCGTAAGGTTACGACACGCAAATGCGTGTCGTCTTCCTTTATGACAGGGCCTTCCTTGATACGCATTGCGTGTCATAACCGAACGTTGTAAATGCGTGTCATAAATGCGCGTCGTAAATGCGCATCGTTTCTCTTTATGACAGGGCCTTCCTTGACACGCATTTGCGCGTCGTCTGAGCGTTTTACGACGCACAATGAGCGTCGTAAAAGGCCTTTTTTCTAGTAGTGACCTAAACTAGACCACATCAAGATTTGGGGTTGCGAGGCTTTCGTGAGATGCGAGACTCATGATAAGCTCGAACCTCGAAGCGAGAGGTGTATTTTCATCGGCTACCCACAACAATCCTTTGCTTACCTCTTCTACAGACCTAGTGACAATGTGGTCTTTGTAGCAAGAAGAGGAGTCTTTCGAGAAAGAGAGTTTATAAGCCAAGGAGACAGTGGAGGCAAATTGATCTTGAAGAAATTCAAGAGTCAAGTGGTGATGGAACTTCAAACTCTAGCCCTCAACTTGAGGAGGAAACTCCTGTTTAGCCAATTGACGAATCTGTACCTCTAAGGCGTTCCACGAGAGTTAGGAGTGCACCTGAGCATTACTATGGATTCCATATTACTGCAGAAGGTGAGACACTTATTAGTGATGGGACACTAGTAAGTCAAGATGACCCTAACAGCTACGAGGAAGCCATGGCAGGCCTCGAGTCTGCTAAATGGAAAGAAGCTATGGATAGCGAGATACAATCCATGTATGACAATCAAGTTTGGAACTTGGTTGAGAATGTACTAGGTCGTAAGACTGTAGGGTGCAAATGGGTCTTCAAGAAGAAGACCGACATGGAGGGTAAAGTACACAATTATAAGCTAGTCTGGTTGCAAAGGGCTTCTCTCAAATTCCTGGAGTGGATTATGATGAGACCTTTTCTCCGGTAGCCAAGATTAAGTCTATTCGGGTTCTGTTAGCCATAGCCGCATTTCATGACTATGAAATTTGGCAAATGGATGTCAAAACCGCTTTCCTTAATGGAAAGTTGGCTGAAGATGTTTACATGAGTCAGCCAAAGGGTTTTGTCAGCAACGAGTACCCTAATAGAGTGTGAAAGCTTGAGAAATCCATCTATGGATTAAAGCAAGCACCTCGCAGATGGAATCTTTGCTTTGATGAAAAAGGTCAAGGAATTTGGCTTTTCTAGGAGTGAAGATGAATCTTGTGTGTATGTCAAGGCTAGTGGAGTATAGTTAGCTTTTTGGTATTGTATGTGGATGACATACTACTCATAGGAAACGACATTCCATCCTTGTAGGAGTTAAAGTCCTGGCTTGGAAAGTGTTTCGCTATGAAGGACCTTGGTGAAGCTGCCTATATTTAGGGATAAGGATCTTGAGAGATCGGAGTAAAAGACTAATTGGACTTAGTCAAACTACCTACTTGGATAAGGTGCTGAAGAGATTCAGCATGCAGGACTCCAAGAAAGGAGAGTTGCCCATCCAGAGTAACGCCAAACTGAGTAAGACACAAAGCCCTAGCACTGAGGCTGAGATAGCACAAATGAGTCGAATACCTTATGCTTCGGCTGTAGGATCGATCATGTATGCTATGACGTGTACTCGACCTGATGTAGATTTTGCCTTGAGCATGGTTAGCAGGTTTCAGGGGAACCCTGGCAAGCACACTGGACTGCGGTAAAAGAATATTCTCAAGTACCTATGAAGGACTAAGGACTGGGTCCTTACCCTCGGTGGGAGTGATGACTTGAGAGTTGTAGGGTA